GCAGGACTCATTAAAATTCTAAATACCAGCATTCTGCACTATGGAATCTTGTTCAGGAGCAAGATAAGTGGATTCTGATTCCTGTTTCCATGAAAGGAGACAAGCGGTAACTGTGAGAGGCAGTTGAAAGCTTGAAAGCACAGGAGCCCCCTGAAGGGGAGGGGCCTGCTGGGGTTTTGTGCTGGGCCGCTCCCAGCCTCCCGCAGCCTGCGCTGCGCCCAGGCCCCAGAGCCAGCACCGCCCCTGTTATAAGCGCTGATCAATTTCCTGTACTGACAAGGGTCAAACCAGCCATTTGTTTCGGCCGGAAACAAGCAGCTGCGCCACCTCCAGGGAACCGTCTGTGCAGAAAAAAGAACCACAGCAGCTCTTCCAAAGGAGCAACTGATTCCTCACTTACTTGAAAAACTCGCCCCCTGCCCTGGCCAGCAGGGCTCAGCTGGTTCAGTGCTGATCCATAACCAAAAGGTTGCGGGTTCGATTCCTGGTAAGGGCACAAGCCCTGGTCACGGGCTAGATCCCTGACTGGTGGGAGGCAGCCCGTCGGTGTTTCTCCTTCTCCCTTCCCCTGTCTCTTGAATCAGGATAAAACAGAAACAAAATAAAAACATTTCCCCTAAGGAGAGCTCTGGAGAGACTGGGCTCTCCGTGAGGCCACGGAAAGGTCAGCCCTTGGAGAGGCCTCTCCCGGCTGGTGGCCTGCTGGTCTCGGCTTCCACTCAGATGCGCACGCACGTGCCTGTGTCGCCTGTGCGCCCCTCCTTCCATCCGTCTGACAGACGAGGTGGAAACTCCACTTCCCAGGGGCCCATCAGTCCCTGCTGCCTGTTTCTTCACGTGAAGGTGAACTTCCATTTATGACACCATTACCGATTACTGTGAAATACTTACAGGCTTGATGGAAGGGCCCAACGTCCTGGGTGCACAGACTGGAGACAGAGCAGCCTCGAGTGCTCAAAACCTGGAGAGAGGACACAGCTCTCCACGCCCCCGAGGGTCTTCCTGACGGCCGAGGGAATGAGCTGTCTGCTGGGCATCCAGGGTGAAACACTTCCCAGCTTCCCACCGACGGCTTCCCCAGAGCGTGCTCAGCGGCTCTGAGCAGCAGACTCCGCGCGGGGCGTGAGTGGCGGAGCAGTCAGGATTCCTCTGGCAGCGAGTTTTCCCGGTTTCTCTGATGCTCAGTGAGTGGTACCCTGGACAAGGTAACAGGTTCAGCTCGGTCGAAAGCAGATTCACTACAGGGCATCCAAGGGAACAGAAGGGGAATGGGCAATAATTTCTCCCCCGAAACTCCTGTTTAGGGCCACTGTCCCAATACAGAGCCCTGGTCTGTCTGAACAGGCAGAAAACCTAATCTAACAGCCTTTATGGGCTGATCAGGACAATACACAGTGAGGTGAGTTTCTTGAGCAGTGAGTTTCTTGTAAAAAAACAAAACAAAACTAAGTTAGCTGTTCACACAGAAGTGAGAAATTGCCAAGATCAGGGAAAACACTCTGACTGAAGATGTTCTTAGGGGAAAAAAATTATGTGACAGAGTCATCTAATCAGTCATTTAAACACATGGAAAAGCCCTTGTGTTCAAGGAAGTAAGCGCGGATTCTTAGTTTTCCAGCCCTGGGCTCGGCGGACCCACTCACGCCCCACTCACCAGTAAAGGCTTTGCTGCTGACTTCGGGCCAGTTCAAAAGACATTTATTAGGTCCCGTGTTTGCTCACTCAGCCAACTCTTAGTCAGGGGTTTTCACCCTCAGAAAGAAGTTACAAAAACAAGAATCTTTGCAAAGACTCTCATGTAGCAACTTGTCATCGCAGTTACTTGGTTTCAAATGACAAATTACTCCAATCATGGCCAATTCTGAATAAAGGGGCACCTGGCAGAATTGGAGAGAGAGAAATTTAAAAGCTTTAGTCAATTTCTAGTGCCATGACATTACATTTTTTGGCGTTGGATGTGTTAGGGGTTATTTAAAATAGGTCTTCTAAAATACAATCCAATGAGATAATCCTGGAGATTACAAATAGCCAATGAGTGTATTCTTTTTTTTATTCACCAGAGAACATTTTTAAAAATTGCTTTTAGAGAGTGATAGGAAGGGAAAGAGAGAAACATAGATGCTAGAGAGAAGTATCAATGGGTTGCCTCCTGTATGTTCTGGACTGGGGATCAAACCTGCAACCCTTTGGTTATGGGACGACACTCGACCCAACTGAGCTGCTAGGGCCAGAATGTACTTTTTAAAACAACAACTGTCCTAGTGTTATGTCCATAGTCACAGAAGGAACAGAGAAAATGGGCGGAGCAACATCTGAGAAATGCTGGCTGTGCATCTCCCCAAACTGATGGAAGATATGAGGCCACATGTTCAAGACAGGCTGCAAACCTCAAGCAGGATAAAGACAAGGAAAACCACACGCAGATCCATCTTAACATTTTCCAGAGAAAAGAAAGACACGTTCCTTTCAAAATAATAACAATTACACAGACGGAAGACTTTACAGAAGAAACAATGGAAGGTAGACTATGGCGCCTTCGAGATGCTGAATAGAAATAACTGCACAGCTGGAGTTCTATACTCAGGGAGAATATTCTTTAAAATGAAGGGGAATAAATATATTTTCAGATAAGTAAAAACGGAATCAATTAATGCCAACACAGACCCACACTAAATACAATGTACAATATCATCTCTCTTGGAAACTGAAAGGACAAATAGCAACAATGAAAAGTAGAAAAAAAATGGAAAATTCTGACTACACAATTAACAAGTTTGACCTAATTACAAAAAACCCCCCAAAACTTCACCTAACAATTGCAAAATACAAATTACTTTCAAGTGCACATAGAGCGTTTACCAAATTGACCACGTGGTGAGCCATAAAGTGAGCCTTTAAAAATTTCAATAAACTGACATTCTACTTGTATGTTCTCTGACCGCAGTGGAATTAAGCTGAAATCAACAACAAAAAAATAGGTGAAGGATGCCCAGATATTTGGAAATTAATACAGTTCCATATTACCATGTGTCAAAAAAGACATCACAATGGAAATGGAAACAAGATTTTGAAACAGATGGTAATTAAAATCTATCAGCACTCAGAGGATGCAGCTACAACCACTCCTAGAGGAGGATTTATAGCCTTAAACATGTGTCTTAAAAAAGAAACAAGTGCACCCTGGCCAGGTGGGCCAGTTGGTTGGAGCATCATCTTCTACACCAAAAGGCTGTGGGTTTGATCCCCAGTCAGGGCTCATACCTAGGTTGTGGGTTCCATCCTTAGGGTGCATACAGGAGGCAACCAATCAACGTTTCTCTCTCATCTGGATGTTTTTCTTTCTCTCTGTCCCCCCTCCCCCACTTTCTCTCTAAGATCAATAAACATATCCATGGGTGAGGATTAAAATAAATAGAAGTGAGCCCTGGCTGGTGTGGCTCAGTGGATTGAGTGCTGGCCAGAGAACCAAAGGGTCCTCAGTTTGATTCCCCCTCAGTACACATGCCTGGGTTGCAAGCCAGGTCCCCAGTGGGGGGCATGCGAGAGGCAACCACACATTGGTGTGTCTCTCCCTCTCTGCTCTCTCCCCACCCCTAAAAATAAGTAAATAAACTTTTTTTTTTTTTTTTTTAGTGAAAAGGCAAGCAACATCTTAGTATTACTATGAAAACAGTTTTGATGATTATGGACTCTTGGAAAGGATCTCTAGATGGCAGGGGTTCCCAGACCATACTTTAAGAACTGGTGACCTAAGCAATTAAGTCCAAGAGGATGCAAAGGAGGACGGGATGGAGGACCTCGGCGGAGGAACTGGCCTTTAATGCAAAGTGGCCGTTCATCTTCCAGATCATGAGCAAGCAAATAGATGGTGCCACAGTGCTTAGGAGACAACCTGTGCGTTCCATTCTCATGGAATCCTTTTCTCGGTGAGATCGTCAGGCCGGCCCTTCACTCAGGGTGATGAGGTAAAGGGTGAAGGTCCCTGGGGGAGCCTATGAAGTGACTCCCTTGGAGAGCAGGAAAACCAGCCACCAGCCGTATGGTCACCTTGCCAAGCAAGGACCGTAAAACCTCATCTCCAGCGCACTCGGCTGGGCACCCTGGAATTTATCTGCTGGCAGAACTGTGGGGAGTGAAGTCCTCAGCCAGCTGAAGCCGATCACTGCCTCGCTCCACAAGTGAGTGGTGTGGCAGGGTCCTGCCATTGAGTAACTGTGTGTCCTTGGGCGAAAGACCCTCTGTGCCTCAGTTTCCTATCCGTACAATGGGAATAATTGTAGCATCTACCTCATGGGGCTGCTGTGCAGATCAATTCACATTAAATGGCAAGTAACATACTTGGATGGGTGCCTGTCAAAGGGAAGTGCTCCCCAAGAGTCAGCGACAACTACTGTCATTGCTATTATGATTATCAACGCGACTTACTGAGCTTCCACTCTGCCTGCGAGTGTGGATAAGAACGGGCTCACCCGACACCCAGCCACCGCCGCTGCCCAAACGCAGGTGGGGCGGGGCTGGGGACACCCTGTGGACGAAACTAGCCCCCGTTCACCAGGGAAGACGGCAGAACACAACCACACAGGCCAACTAACGCAACAATCACGATTGTAAATCCTAATCTTCAGGAAGGCGCAGCACGCATGGTCGGGGCTTTGGGAACATTTGTCCCTGCATCCAGACACTAGGCCCCGAGGGGATACGCTCGGTTTTTACTGGTGAGGGGTGCTTCTCAGGGGAAGACTGGCTTCCCCCAAGCCACGCGGCTCGCAGTCCAACGTCAGCTCGCGCCAAGGCCGCGTAACAGAAGTCCGCTTCCGTGACGCACTGCGTCAGGGCCGGTTCCCGCGCCTCGGGGCCAGTAGTTCCGGCGGAAGTCCCTTCTACAAGGGGCGGAGCCACCTTAGGCCGGGCCCCGGGCTTGGCCACGCCCCTCCGCTCTCGCGACTCCGTCGTACACTTCGCCAATTGGAGCTCAGCTTATTACAGAGTGAGGTGAAACGTTCTCCAGTCCGCGAGAGTCGTCGTCGCTCGGGCAACAGCGTCCTAGAGACACCGAGTGGGCTGGGTCTCCGCGTTCAGGCGTCCCGGGCACCCAGCGCGCACTTCTCGCCCCACGAGGAGAATAGGAAGGGGGCGAGGGTAAGGCGGCGCGTCCTCGGCACCTGGACCGTGCGCGAGTCGAAGTGGGGCAGCGAGGGTCCGAGTGTGTGGGTGGCGGGCGTGCCGCTCGGAAGGTCCCGCAGCCCGGAGAAGGCTCCTGGCCACGCTCGGGACGAGGAGCCTCCCTTCCTCGTCCGTGGTGGAGCGCTGGTGACTCGTTTTCTGTCGTGTGTGTGGTGCGCCAGCAGGTGCCAAGCTCGTGGAGGTTCTGCGGCTGCTGCGGTGAATAGGACGGTCCTGTTCTGGTGGAGCTGACGTGGTGTTTGGGGAAGTCAGACTGTAAAACCGGTGGAAAGGTGGTGACATCTTCCTTCCCGGATCTCTGAGGGTCGCGTGAAAAACGTGTGGTAATGCCTCCTTCGCCCCCGAGTATTTACAGAAGGTTTCAGAAGGCCCGTGTTTCCCCTTCCCCACAGCACTCTGTTTAATAGCATCGTCAACTCCCTCTCCTAGAAGGGGATTGCCCCACAATCACACAGCTAGGAAGTTGCAAAGACAGAATTTAAACTCAGCATTTCGATCCCATGTCAAAAATCTGTCTTTCTAGAATATTCTTTTTTCGTGGACCACACATGCTTATCCTCAGACATTTCATTTGGAGGCACTCTGTGAATAGTTGGTTGCACAGAATTTAAGACCATTGGTAAATCACTAAATCACTTTCAAGGAAAGTAATTTACTATTTCTTACATATGTCCCCCTAAATGGGTGGACTTACAGAAATGCTGTAAAAAAAAAAAAAGGCAACTTTCACACGCTGCAGTTCTTTCATCTATTTCTTTTATTCATTTTCTTCAATCCAACAGGCATTTAGTTGGCCGAATCCTGGGGATGGGAAAGTGAGTCAGGCACCGGCCCTTAGGTTATCTGGTGACACTGGTCTCCCACTCAACTTGGATGCAAGGTTTAAGAGGGCATGGATTTTATTTTAGTTTTCTTTACTTTCCCTTGCCCTACCCCTTCAGTTTACTGTTGGCTCACAGGAGGTGCTGCTAGGTATTTGTCAAGAAATGCTGATCTGAGACTTTAAATTTGCTCTCCAATTTTGTCTGCCTCTTCTGCTCTTTTCCAGCCTTCCACCTCTTCCTCATGCTGTGACGTCCCCAGCTGTGTGGCACCTGGAGAAACAACCAGCTCCGGGAGATGGGGTGGGCACCCACCCAGAGCAGGGACCCCTTGGGAGGCCTCGGGCTGTTAACAAGACGGCGGCTTTAATGAAGCTCCTTCCCAGGTGTGTGCTGACTGCCTGTTTGCAGCTGTGAGAGCCATCCACTGGAGGTGTTCTCAGATGACCCCTTCCCTGCCAGAATGGAGACATTAGCTGTAGAATAGACGAGGAACTGCGAGGGAGACAGGAAGCTATTAGCTGCTTACCTTCTGGGAAGTGTATCTAAAAATACTATCCTTTAGGCTTGCACAATTATGTCGATTGGATTCTTATAATAGTTAAAGATTAATTCACTCTTAGCCCAATACTGCCCAGGATGCCCCCATCATTTAGAAGATGTGGTTGTAAAGTTAAGGGATATGTCTGGAACTGCAACTAGAGCTGGCACACGGACAGGACACCTTCCTACATGAGAGAGCTTTATGTTCCACAGCTTCCTCCTGGTTGTGACCCTTACCCACCAGCAGGTTTGGTTTACTTTGCCCCGGGTGGCGGTGCTGCTTTTCCCTGCATGTATCCGTTCACAGGCTCGCTGCTGCTTCTTGTTGGCACTGCAGCTGTGCCTGCCACTCCTGGCTGATGATTGTTGAGCACTTACTCTGTTCCAGGCACAGTTCAGGGCCTTGCACACCTGTATTTTAATTTGGTCCCCATCAGCTGCTTGTGAAAAAGTACAGTTACTCTCGCCATTGTACGGCTGCTTAAGGGGCTAAAACGCAGACGCGAGAGTGTGCGGCTTCCACTCCAGGGCGGCCTGAGCACAGAACCTGTGCGCCTGACCTGTGCAGCCCTCTCAAGCCCGCGACACTCTCCGGGACCCACTGAGGCTCTGTGGTGACTGTAAGAATAGACACCTGTGGATGAGAGAAGCCCGTAAGTCAGGGTCACGAGCAATGTAGATTGAATAGGAAAGTGACGTCAGGAGGAGAGAAGATACTCAGATTGTCCAAAATGGTTGATACAGTTGAGCTCCACATTCATCTCTGAGCTTCTTGAACTCGGTAAAAGAAATTTTTTTTTTAAAGATTTTATTTATTTATCTTTTACAGGGAAAGGGAAGGAGAGAGGGAGAGAAACATCAATGTATGGTTGCTTTTCGTGCCTCCCCTGCTGGGAATTGGCCTGCAGGGAACTGGCCTGCAACCCAGGCATGTGCCCTGACTGGGAATCGAACCGCGATTGTCTGGTTCGCAGGCCCGTGCTCAATCCACTGAGCTACACCAGCCAGGGCGGTAAAAGAAAATTTAAAAAAATAGAAGGAAATTGAGTTGATTTTGTCCAGGCAAGTAAGGCATTTTAATTCCCCATGGAAAAAACGAAGCCTTTCTAACACAGAGGTCCAGAAGGCAGTGGACCTGGGCTCAGGGCCATCACAAAGGACCGTCACAAAGCCTGAGACAGGCTCAGGGTCCTCACTGTTTAGGGAGAGAATGTGGAACGTCACATTCGTATGGAATTTTAAAAACGATTTTGAACATCAATACTTGTCAATAACACTCTCCGAATTTTGTTTTTCCCTAGGAATTGGTAAATGGTGTTTTCCTGTCCCCTGGGTTGGTTTCACCACCTGTTGGCTAATTTGCCTCACAGTTATTTGCTGAGCACCTGCCAGGTGCACCATCTAGCTGCCTCTAGGTATTAGGACTAGGCACTGAGGAAGCCCCTGTGACGGCCACTGGCTGCCCCAGTGCCCTCTGCTCCTGCTCGGGTTCTTCTGCCCTGCCTCTGGCTTGCCCTTCTTTGTTGGCCCATGAGACCCTTGCCCTCCTTTGTTGACCCATGAGACCCTGGCCCGGAGGCCATACTCTGCAGTGTCCACCTGCCTTCTGCCCTGGGGTCTGTGCGACTTGTCTTTCTGTGCCTTCCTGGGACCTAAAATTAATAACAGCTGCCAAAGAGTGAACGCCACCTCCTGTGTGCCAGGCCCTTTAGATACGTCATCTGTGATCCTTCCATAGCCTTTAGAGTGTGGCACTTAACCGTTTGGGGTCACTTGTCCCTTGAGAAGCTGGTGAAAGTAATGTACCCTCTGGCTAGAGAAGTCACCTCACACATACTTTGCACCTCACCTCAGAGACTTTGAAGTCCTCCAGAGCACACACAGAACCTTGTCCCTAGATTCCAGGAGAGGCACGCCCGCTTTAAAGAGAAAGATGATTTCCACTTTGCAGATGAGCAAACGGGCAGTAGGAGGCTAATTAACTGGCCAATTTGCACAGGAGACGGTGGAACCAACTGGGCTCCATGTCACCTTGGCACCACATCCTTTGCTTTCCCCGCCGTGGAGGCTTGGCAGGTGCCAAGTGAGTGCACGGGAGGCGAGGAGGGGCCCTCTTGGGTGTGTCCCGAGACATACAGAACAGCCATCTGATAACCAGAATAGATGAGAAGATTTTCACAAGTATCTGGAGCGAGCTGCCAAAGTAGTCTGTGTGGCTTGCAACTTCTTCCAATTTAGTCAAGTGATCATTTTCCCCCCTCGAAACCAGTTCCAGCAATTTTTGCTTCTGATGCCATTTCTGTTTGGCTGCGCACATTTTTCAGTCTTGTGTTGAATTATGTTTTTTCTGGATGCCAAGGCAGATGGATGGCACTTTTGTTATGATTCTGCTATAAATAGCATCTGTTAAACACTGGACACCAATATGTATCTGGCGAGTACATGTAGGAGTGAGAGAGCCTTTGATTGGGGTTCTGCCTGCAGGCAAGTAGTACATTTGATGCTCTGTGACTTGGGGCTTCTTTGGGCGGGTGGGGAGGGGAGCATTGGTTTTGTAGTTCTTGCTAATTTCTACTGGACCAAGTTCTGAAGTAATCATGAGTTCATTAATGTCTTAGAATTCTCTTCATTTAGAAAACCTAAACTGAGGGAGAGGTAGAGCCAGGGTTGACATGCAGAACTCGTCGCTGTGGCTTGCGGCCTGCTCGTACCGAGAACCTCACTTAGCTCTCAGAGTAAGGGTGAGACTAGCCCAGCTTCCCGCCCTCCCAGTGGTGGGCGTCGCCCGCTGCTGTCACTGGAACAGAGATTACCTGGAGCTCGGGCAGGGTAGGTGCCGAGCGTGGGGACATGAGGGCTGCTGCCCCTCCACTAGAGGGCACCAGTACTCAGCCAGGGGGGCAGTGGGGAAGCAGAGAATCCAAGTGAAAATAGAGGCAGAACTGGGGGAATAGGTGGGAGGTGTTGCTACTTCTTTATACGTAGGCACCCCCCTCCCCAGCCCCATAGCAGAGCAGTGGGATTATGGGCGCCTCTGGTTTTTTTGTCCTTTCCTTCATTAAATAAAACAACGGGCAGGACAAAACTCTAAGACTCAGTTCTCTGGAATGGCCTGGTCAGTTTTATTTAAGGAGGCTAGGAGGACCTCACAAAGGAGGGACCGAGTTCTGAATCTGGAGAGATGAATTGAAGGGTGTCAGGTGGAAGAGGAGGAAGGAAATTCTAGCAGGAGGGAACCACATGTGGAGGTGAGGAACCACGCGGAATATTTGGAGTGCTGTGAAAATGTAGTGTGCGTGGGGCTGTGGCGTCTGGAGGGGTCGCCTGGGGCCAGATTATTAATGATGTAAATGATCTTACACTCTGGAGAAGTGTTGTATGCTTTTTTTTTAATTAAAAATTTAGATTGACAAAAGTTGCAGAATTAGTACAGAGAGGTCCAGCGTGTCCTCAGGCCCCTCAGGGATACATGGTACAGAGTAACCACGGTACAGTCAAAACCAGGACGCCATCCTGCCAACCGAGGAGGGTGCATTAGAGGGAGCAGTTGGAGACCAGGAAGCAGTGGAAGGGGCCGCTTCTTCCCCCAGACCGGTGAGGCTGAGCAGGGCAGTGACACTGGGGTCAGAGGGGCAGTGAGGAGGCTTAAGAGGGGTTTTCCAAGTAAAATCAACAGTACTTGCCAATTGCTTAGAGAGCCCAGGCTGAAGGCAGGGGTTTCTGCCCTGACTTGTGAGAGTTCAGGAGTGGAAGCTGATTTACTCACTCAGGGAGTTTGAGCACCTCTGAACACTGGTCCCTGGCTTGGGGCCTGGGGGCCCCCAGAGGCAAGCCTCAGTTGAATACTCATATACACAGACCCGCCCTTGCACCCTGGGCTAAGGGCGATCGGGGACAATGGAGGTCCCCGTGGGGGCTCCCCCTGGTTCAGCGGGTGGGGTCAGGGAAGGTTCCCCAAGGAAGGGACATGTGCACGGAGACTCATGGGTCTCGGTGGGTCTCAGCCTCAGCATCACCTGGGAGCTTGTCAGCCCAGCGTATTCTCGGCCCCACCCAACCCCCGGGGTCCTGCGTTGGACCTCCGTGGTCCAGTTGGGGTCTGACCGGCCCTGCAGGTGATGCTGACAGACACTGCAGTGTGAGAACCGCCGAACTTCCGGACGAGGAGGAATTGACAGGCCTAGGCAGTGGGCTGCGGCGTGTGGGAGAAGGCTTTCCCGTGGAAGGGCCATGTCTGAGAGACTGCCGTGGGCCAGCATGGTTGACACATGGAGACCAGGAGAGGAACGCAGCTGGAGTAGCAGGGGGCCCATCCATCCACGTGGCCTTTTGATGCCATTAAGGGTTTTGGTCTTTATTCCAAGGGCAGTAGGAAGCAATTGGGGTTTGTAAAACAGGGAAGTAACATGAGATCAGCACTTTAAAATGATTACTCTGGCTGATGTAAGGAAAGCAGGAGACCGCAATAGGGGTGTGTGTGTGTGTGGTGTGTGTGTGTGTGAGAGATGGAGATAATGGGAAGAGTTGTCACAAACCCTCCACCCGGGAGACCTAACATTTGCTGGGAGGGTCACGCGAAGCCTGGGAAACCTGCAGAGGTTTCAACCCAGCTCAGTAGCTGGCAATGCGACCTGCAGACCCCTGTCCTGTGGCTTCACAAGCCAGGTAAGGATGGACAGCCATCAGCCAGTCTGGGCTAACCCCACCGCTCTCTCGTTTTCCAGAATACACAAATCCAGGACCTTTTGTCTCGAAGCAAATGAACCGCAGCAAAATGAATATCAACAGCATCAAGTCAGGCAGCACCAAGGCCAGGTGAGGCACCCCTCCTTCCCGAACCTTGGGGTGCTGGCATCACAGGGCCACAGTTCGCTCAGGCCACGAGTGTGTGTGGTGTGAGGGCTCTGCAGGTTGATGATGACACCACTCACCGTCCCCTCTGTCTGGTTGTGTCGGTCGCTCACCCAGCCAACACGTACTAAATGCTGATTTTTGTGCTGGCATTGTCTAGGAACTTAACGTCTCTGCCCCATCAAGAAGCATCGGCTTCTTACAGGTTTTCAAGCTGAGCGTCCCCGATGTGGTGCCCACCAGGACCGCAAACGGTAGAGAGCCAGGGCTCATTCAGAGAGTCACTCAGGGGGCCTCACTGCGGTGTGGCTGGGCACTGCCTGGCCGCTTGCCTCGGCTGGATTCGCGTTTCCTGCTCTAGGGGGCAGCAGCAGCAAACCTTTCCCTTCCCCAGGAAGCCGGGAACCTTGGCCACCTTCCTTCCCTGCCTGGAGCACTGGTGGGCCTGGCGCACTATAAATAGGAAGTGTTAACGCTCCCTGTCTGCGCCGCGGAGCTGGCAGCACGGATGGTCTCCAGCCCTTGCATTTCGAGAGGCTGCCAGTCAAAGCGTTTTTGAGACGGAGCGAGTGTCTGACAACCGCCAAGCGCCTTCCCTCCTTCTTCACGACTCGCTTTCCCGTGCCTGTCGCCACGTCTGTCCTCGCATTAGCCGTGGCCGTGAGTCCGAGTCGTTTGTTAGAGAAGAGTGAGTTTCTCAGGCACTTTCTGCGTGGGGAGAGGAAGCGTGTCACAAACAAAACCACATACACTTTTGCTTTAGGGTCCTCATTCTGGGGTCGCAGGGCGTTCAGGCTGGTGAAGTGACCCCAAAACCACAATCCTCAGTTCAGTTAGACTCACGTCTTTACTTCTGGGATCATCAGCATCAGACGTGGCCCCTGCTCTCATGACATCAGTGGTCTAGCAGGGAGACAGCCGCCGACGGGTCCTGAGGGCCATAGGCCGTGATAAAGAGGCCCTTTGGACACTGACCACTAGTTGTCAGTGTCGGGGGCTGGAGAGGAAGCAGGCCTGACGTCAAAGGTTACCTTGGACGGCCCGAAAGAGAGCCACCACCCTGGCGGCAGCATAGAGACACTGGCTCACGTCCCGGAGCCTTCAGTCGAGTTCCCGCTTTCCCGAATAAGCAGTATCCTCACCGGTTACAAGTACAGTGTGGGGCAAGGACGGACTGTGACAGACTGTGCAGGGTCAGGGGGACCTCTCAGAGGGGTGAGGTGCCCTGGAATGGGAGGGGAAGAGTTAGCTGGGGAGGGTGGGAGGGGATGTGGGGGGCTGCGGGAGTGCGACAAGGGGCAGGAGAGGCAGGCAGGGTGAGTGTTGTCAGAGCACGGTCTCGCCAGCACGCGGCGATGTTTACTGAAGAACACTTAACGTGAAAAGGCCGGTGCCGCGCTCTCCCCACACGGCCATTTCAGCCGCGTCCTCCAGACTCTGCTGTGGAAGCGTGCTTTTACGTCACCGTGCTCACTGGGCTTTTTCTCAGCGTGGGCCTGGACGTGTACTCTTGTGTTTCCATGTAGGCTGTGTAGTCGCCATTGGTGTAGTGGAGGCTGTTCCATTGGAGCCTGCTGACTGGGAGAGGCTTGCGTCACACTCTGCATATGACTTCTGAGTGCATGTGTCCACATGTGTGGACAGATTCACAGTGACGTTTGGTAGGAAGGCGATCGCCTGCGTGGGGTCAGGGGACCCCGGCGCAGGGAGACCTTGGCGGAGGAAGGCTGTGGTCCCACTGCCCTGTCTCTAAGCTGTGTGCCGTACGCAGGGCGGCTTCTGACCACCGGCTTTTCTGATAAGTTGAGTTTGGATGACTGGCCCAGTTGCTTTTTGTGATACCCTATCATTTGAAATACATTTGTGAATGGACTTGTGTGTTATTCTAACTCTTCTGCACAGAGCGAGAGACTAGGGTTACCAGTCGGTTTGAAGACAGTGAGGGAGTGTGAGGCTGGGCTGGGGGAGGCCGGGACGGGGGAGGCTGGGCTGGGCTTCCAGTGTTGGCGCACGTACCTTGGAATCCCAGTATTTGATTAGATGTTTATGTAGATGACTTCCTTTTAATTTTTCACATGTTCTTTTGAGCATGTTGAGTTACACTGTTTTGCAAATGCATTTTTGAGGACTGGCGGACTTTATTACTCTATCAGTGTGTGCAGACTTCATTGTTAATGTGTTAGGTAGGACTGCACCCGAATCGTGTGCACCTGTGCCGGGGATGCACACCCCGTGAGCACACACACATGTACACTCCTGGCACAGTTGGGCAGAAAGCCTAGGATTAAATTTAGGAGAGTTTGGGTCTTGGCCATAGGAGGAAATTTACCTCTTGTCTCTGGGGGTTAAGCTCTCCGCCCCCAACAGCATGAGTAACGCTGTGTAGTTCACAAGGGGTGACAAGGTTGACAGTCAGCCAGTGGCCATGAAAAAGTAGGTGCCCTGACTGCTAGGCGACTCGCATAGAATCAGGTCAGTGTAACGTTTGCTGGTGTTTTGACGTCATTTTGCTATTAAGCAGGGGAACTTACACATGAGCCTCCATAAAACTCTGTGGACTCACCCTTACCAATCAGCCCCTGGGGCTTCCAGGGCAGCGGCCTCAGGGCTGTGACAGCCTCAGCCGAGTCCGATGGGTCGGTCCCGTGGTGCCTGAGACCTTGGGTTCTGAAAAGTCCCCAGGTGACACTGCTGCTGCTGGTTTGGGGGCCACATGTTGCGGATGACTGTTTTAAAGCTGCATGTCTGCCTCAACAGCCTTTTAATAAAGGCTGATTTTTAAAAATGGGAAATAATGCATTTAAAAATAATGGTATTGACAGTCATAAAAACCCACGTTATTTCTGCTTGAGGATGCTCCAGATGGAGCAGCTCTGCCCACTGGAGGTGGATCCACCCCACGAGAGGGTGGTTCCGTTGACCCTGTCGTCAGTGTTTGTGAGGCGGGTGTCCCTGAGCTGCCGCGCTCTCGGTCGGCGCAGTGGGAGGTGCTGTGCAGCTGGATGCCTTCTCCCTGATTTTTCAGACTCACGGACGTTTCTTTAAACCGCAAGTCAGATGGTGAGCTACTGGAGGGCCGGGCGGGGCACACTCCGCTTCCTGTTCCCCACCCTGGCTGCCCTTCAGGGTTTGCCGCGGGATGGACTGCTCAGCGAGTAGTTGCTTGGGAAATGCTCACACCAAGGATGTCTGGGTCGAGCACGCAAACAGGCCCGGTTTCCAGAACTGCCCAGACTTGGCTGCGTGGAGTGTTCATACTGTCACTGAAGTCCCAGTAGCTCTTGCGATCCCACAACTCGTAGGAATCAGAACCGCAGAAGCCCCAGCAGGTCGCCCGAGCGCCCTCCCGCTGGGAGAGGAGCATTCCTTGCAGTGCAGGCGGCAGCCCTGGGAGGAATTACTTTTCATGTGATTATCATTTTTTCCGTGCCGTCTTCAACTAAGTGTTTCTTGAATTGAATCACTTCGTATTCAAGTAATAAATGCACAACAGGCAGTATGTTTCTGGGTGATTATCTCACTCCTCAGGTGGTGTAATAAGGCATGAGGCCAAAGCCCTGGCATGCCTGATTGTTATTATGAAGTGAATTTATGGATAAAATAAGGTGGTTATTTGCATCAGCAGTAACTGCAGTGAGAAGCGCAGTTCCAGCAGACCCCCCCGCCTGCTTGGAGAGCTGGGCGAGGCAGCCAGGGACTCCGCCACCTTCTGGGAGCTGCTTATTAATTTTGTGAAAGCCTAGGAAAGCCTTGGCCATTGCCAGCCATGCCAGCGGGGTTCCCGGGAGGAGCCCTTCCCGGACCCAGCTCTGGCTTAGCAGTTGTGTGGCCCTGGGCAGGTGGCTTGCCTGCCCAGTTTGCACACCTGTGAAGTTGGAAGAGTAAAGACTTCGGGTAAATGATGGGTTTCCACAAAGCTTAAGCACCTTTCCTGGCTCAAAGTAAGGCCCCAATCAGTGCTAATTGAATTGGAGTGACTTACTTCCCTTCTTAAATTCTTCATAAGCTTGAGTGTCCTGTCTCTTGACCTCTTCCATCTGTCCAGTCAGCTCAGTCCCACCAACAGTTTCCACTGTTCTCGGTGTCCCCTTCTGAGCAGCGTGTGCACATGTGGGCACTTCCCTTGCACAAGCCCCTTACCTTGCCGTGTCATGCTCGCCAGTCAAAATCCTGTTTCAAAATAAACCCCACTCCCTGGGGCAGCTGGGCAGCTGAGCGTGGCTGGAGAAGACACACAGCCCCGCTGGGCCTGCCTTTAAAGTTCATGGCTGGGGATCGCAGACGGGCTCCTGAGAGTCCCCAGTGACCCTTCTCCTTTTCTGCTCGCCGCCTCTGCAACAGCCACGGCGTCCTTGACCCTCTTCCCGCGTCCCCGAGCCCCCTCTCCCGTCCTTGCTGCTGGTGGCCCAGCTTCCTCCTTCGGAGGGAATTGTTTTCTCGGCTTTGTTTTCAGACTGTTCGTTGCAGGTGCATAGAGAAACCACTGATTTTTGTATGTTCTTGTAACCTGTAACCTTGCTGAGGTTGCTTGTTCTAATGGCGGTTTTTTTTTTTTTGGTGTGCATATGTTCTTTTGGATTTTCTTCAAACAAAATTATGTCATTGGCAAATAGAGATAGTTTTTATTAGTCTCCAATCTGGTACCTTGATAAATAGTTCTTTTCCTTGCCTAACTGCTTTGGCTAAAACCTTTAGCACAATGTTGAATAAAAATGGTAAGAGCAGATATCCTCATTTTGTTTCAGATCTTAGGGAGGAATATATACTTTTAGCCCTGGATTGAGCACTGGCCTGCGAACCAAAGGGTCGCCGGTTCCATTCCCAGTAGAGGCACATGCCTGGGTTGCGGCCCAGGTCCCCAGTGGCGGGTGCGTGAAAGGCAACCACACATTGATGTTTCTTGCCCTCTCTTTTTCCTACCCTTTAAAAATAAATAAATAAAATGGAAAATATCTCTATATATTTTAATATTTTGTTGAGGAGTTTTTTAATGTTCCTAAGGAATATAAGTCTTTTGCTTTCTTTTCTTTCAATGTCTTTGTCTGGTTTGGTATCGGGATAATACTAACCTCACAATATTTTGGGAAATGTTCCCTTTTTTGTTTTTTGGGAGAATTTGTGGAGGATTGGTTTTAATTCTTCTTCTTTAAATATTTGGTAGAATTCACCAGTGAACCCATCCAGTCCTTGGACTTTTGCAGTAAGTTTTTTAATTACTCATTTAATCTCTTTGTTACAGGTCTACTTAGGTTTTTTTATTTCCTCAGTCAGTTTCAGTAGTTTGTGTTTTTCTAAGAACTTTTTTATTTCGTGTAAGTTATCTGATTTGTCGGTACAGTTAGTGTTCCCTTATAACCCTTTCTGTCTTTGAAGGGTCAGCAGTAACGTCCTGTCTTTCAGTCATGATATCAATAGTTTGAGTGACCCTTACGTTTTCTTGGTCAGTTTAGCTAAAAAATTGTTAGTTTTGCCGATCTTTTCAAAGAACCAACTTTCTATTTTGTGGGTTTTCTCTATTTTCTATTATCCATTTTATTTATTTCTACTCTAATCTTTATTAGTTTGTTTATTCTACTTGGGTTTAATTTACTATTATTTTTCTAGCTTTTTAAGGAAGATGGTTAGGTTATTTACTGAGATTTTGTATATAAACATTAACGGCTCTAAATTCCCCTCTGAGCGCTGCCCTCTCTGCATCTGTAAGCGCCGGTATGTTGGGCCTTCATTGTCGTTTACCTGGGAGAGTTTGCCGATTCATCGTGTGATGTCCTCCTTTGTAGGACTGTATTGTTTAATTTCCACATGCTTATGAATCACCCAGTTTATTTCTGGTACTGATTTTTAATTTTAGTCCAGTGTGGTCGGAGAACATTTACTGATGATTTTAACTCTCCTGAGTTGATTGAGCCTTGTTTTACGTCTTAACACAAGGTCAGTCCCGGAGGACGCTCCGTGTTCACTCGAGAAGAGTGTGCGTTCTGCTGCAGTGAGTCGGGCGTTCTTTAGACGTCCCGTCGGTCTAATTTGTTTGCAGTGTCCTTCAGGCCCCCTATTTCCTGTTGCTCGTCTGTCCAGCTGGGCTGGGCATTAATAAGAGTGGGTGTCAGGGTCTCCCTCTGTTAGTGTTTAAGCGCGTGTTTCTCCATCCACTGCCGTTCGGTTCTACGTCAGGTACGTGGGGCATGCGTGTTTCTTTTACCTTCTCAGATGTTCTTCCTTTCTTAGGCAGGTCTGAGTTTCTGACCCATATGACTTTTCCTTCTTTTTGAGACTTTATTTTATTTTTGTTTTTAGACAGGGGGTAAGGGAGACGCACAGACACCGTCTGGCACAGGCACTAATGCTCTGGCCACTGAGACGGGGGCGGACCCCTGTCACTGACCGGACCACTGCGGGGAGGGAGAGGACCAGCGCACTGTGGTGACACTTACCCTGGGTGTTGTTTTATTTTTGTTTCTTTAAGATTATTTATTTATTTATTTTTAGACAGAGGGGATGGGAGGGAAAAAGAAAGGAAGAGAAACATCAGTGTGTGGTTGCCTGTCGCGTGCCCCCCACCAGGGACCTGGCCAACAGCCCAGGCATGTGCCCTGACTGGGAATTGAACCAGCAGCCCTTTGGTTCACAGGCCAGCGCTCAATCCACTGAATCACACCAGTCGGGGCTGAAGACTTTATTTTAACAAGATTTCTTACAAGTAGTTCTGCCAGTGATAAATTCCCTCAATTTTTGTTTGTCTGACAAAGTCTTTCTTTCCTTAAATGCCTGGAAATAATAGTCTTCTGATCTTTACTGAGGGGCTTTGTGTATGTTGGAGCATCCCTTCAACTCTCAGCCATGCAGTTTATAATTCTATTGCAGCCTTTACTTCCCTGCTCATGACCTTGACCAGAACCTCAGGGTGAGCCAGAGGTGAGAGCTCAGGGCCCGCTCAGGTCTTTCCTGAGCAAGCACCGTGCCCTGGACATGCTCACAGCTCTGTGCGTGGGGACACCGTGTTGTTGGGGTTCCCAGGAGCACGTGGGGGCTTCTCAAAGCCCCTGAGCTGTCTCCTTCCCCAGCTTTCTTTCCTCTTTAAGCCTCTTGGTTACTTAGGTTTGCTCCATTTGTCACACACTCCCTCAGGCAGCTCAGGTTTTAAACAGTTGTCTCTGATTCTTTTCAGCAAATACCTTCTGACATAGTCTGTTCTCCCTGGGCGAACTCTGAGTGTGTTGAAATAAAGCAGCCTTGTGAGGGGGCCTTGCGGGGAGCCACCAGGCAGGTCAGGTGGTGGGCATTTTCTGGCGGTGGGGCTCTAAAGGCGGCCCAGCCTCGCCTGTTCCTCCCGGTGGCTGTCAGGCTGCCAGGTGCCCACGGTGATCACAGGCCTCCATTTGAAGGCTACTGAAGACGAGGGGGATGGGAACAGAGAAGGGTACAATGGCACAGAACGTGGTGTTCATACAGAGATTCGCCATATTTTGGGACATGTGCTCCCTCGGTTGCTGTAGACCTTAGGTCAACTTCACGAGTTTTGAGACAGTTCATTGTGATGGTTGTTGCCAGTGTTTCATGTGGAGGAGGCATTTGCACAGGTCAGCTCTGCATTCGAATGAATGCCAGACGCGTAGTGAGGGAAGCTCCGAGAGGCCAGCGTTCTGCCCTAATGCCCACCAGAGAATGCCTGCTAGTCGGGATGCAGGTGGGATTTCCTGTCCGAAAGCCTCCTTATTTTCCCACTTTGGAAGAATATTGGACCTGCCAAAGACAGGCAGTCTGCAGTCCCGAGTTTGTGTTCACTCTGAGAGTGGTTTCTGAGGCGTTGGCCGGAGGTCATGGCAAGCAGCATTCTACCCTGTCCAGCTGTCCTTTCGGGAGAGAGGGGGACAGGAGGTTGGCCACATGTGTGGTGTGTGCGTGAAGGTAACGTAATCTGTTTTCTTTTGTATCGCAGGGATTTAATGCGCAAAATGGCTCTCATGCCAGATTGGCATACTTCGTGTCCTCACGCGCAAAAATCCACAGATTTAAGGCCCCATTCTTCACCATGTAGACTCTGTTCGAGAAATGGTTTCCCAAATATGGTCAGACCTTCTTCAAGTGAGTATTTGCGAGCAAGTAAAGCTAACAGTAGGTACCACTCATGTGTGTTAGCGTGTGCCAGGCCCTGCGCGAAGGTGTCACGTCGTGTAGTCCTCACAGTGGCTCTAGGAAGTGATCCTGTCATTGGCCCTATTTATGGGGAAGCTGAGATACAGGTCGTTTAAGCCAGCTGCCCAAAAGTTTTACAGTTTTTAAGTGGCAGGATCATGATTTGAGCCTTTCCTCCCTCCCTCCCCTCCCCAAACATTTGAAGAGCCCCCCCCACTGTGTGTGACAAGAACTGTCCCAGGTCCTGAGGCGGTGGGTCCAGTAGACCTGCCCTGGAGGAGCCCACCGTCTAGAGAGGGAAGTAGAGTGCCCAACGGCGTGAGGCCGATGCCCCAACAGAAGCACGGACGGAGCAGGGTGGGCGTACCGCCTGGCCGCAGGGGACCGGGACACAGGGAGGGGTGAGTGGGAGAAAGGCGGTCGGGGGTCACCCTGGGCCTTGTGGGCACCTGCAGTGGGCGAGGTTCTAATCACACGCTCACACGCATCCAGCAAGTTAACTTGTGTAACTTGTGTTCTGATGGCACAAAAGGCTGGAGTGAGGGGGTCACTGGGCCAAAGGCCACCCGTGCTCTGCAGGCTGCCAGCATCACCTGCCCGGAGCTGGTGCGCTCCCCCCCCCCCAGCGAGCACTCCGAGTGCTGCTTCCCGAGCGTGCGCACAGAGTGGGGGCCTCTGCTGCTTGTCCTTTGCAGTCCAGAAGCGGTGTTCTGTTGTGATTTTCATTGGCCTTTCTTTAATACTCAAGGTTAACTTTGATTTTCAAGTTTACCTGGTCTTTTTCTTTTGTAATCGGCCTTTCCCTTCCTTTGCCCGCCTACTAGGGGTTGGTCTTTGCAGTGGTCTGTGAGCTGTCTTTGTGTTGAAGCTGTTAATCCTTTATCTGCCGAAGGTCATTCAGTGTCTTCTCCATTTGTCATTTTTCTTTTATTTTTATTGGTGGTATTTTATAGTGTACTGAATTATCATTTTTCTAAAATTAGAAGATTATGGATGGTGTCCCCCAGCAGCATTTTCCTCTAGGGAGGGGGCCGCCCACTGCCCGATAGGCCGGCCCCGCCCTCACGCGTACTGACTCCTCCATCGCGTAAGCAGGGTTCGGTGCAGACTGAACCTCTCGGCCGGGCATTAGACGCCTGTTTCCTTTTTAACGTTTTTTTTTTTTTTTGCTTTTTGTTTGTTTCAATTTGAGTAATTTCTGCTGACCTGACCGTTGTATTCACTAGTCCTTTCTTCTGCGGTGTGCACTATGAAGCAAATCAGATGGATTTTTTTTTTTTGCTTCTGATACTGAATTTTTATTTTTTAGCTCTTTTATGTACTTTTTAAAAAGTTTCCATTTCTTGCTGAAATCCCCCATATGTTCAGCATGTTGCCAATTTTTCTTATGATCTCTAACAAATTTATCATTCTCAGTTTAAATACCTGATCATTTTTCTACATCTGTTCTCTCGGTGGGTCTTCGGATGCCTGTTTTTGCTCTTCATTAGGATTAATAAGAAAGCTCACCTTTCTTACGTCACTTGTCTTGCAATTTGAAAAAGATTTAAGAGCAGACATTTGTGTAAAAAACTGTGGAGACAGAGGCAGGTAATATTCAGCACCAGCAAAAGGAATGTCCCCCTCTCGCAGGCTTCGAGTGAGGTGGGCCCTGTCCGGCCTTTCACAGTCTCCGTTAGATTTAGGGGACCGCAGGGTGCCCACGCCTGCCTCCAACGGCTCCGACACCTGAGCCTGGCGAGACTTGAGAGCTGTCTGCCCCACAGCCCTGTGTTGAGCTTGGCCTCTCGGGGTCCTGTGGGTGCCAGCCTGCCTGCCAGTTTGGAAGGTGTACCAGCGGTTGTCTGTCCCCTGGCCCAGCCCCCAGCTCCCTGCCCTGCCACCCATTTCCAGGCCGCAGGAGGCTGCCCAGGTGCAGCCAGGAGCCCCTGGCCTCAGGGGGACTGGCCTCAGGCTCTGCCCTGTGCTCGGCTTTGGTGCATCGCGGCCCACACCTGCGGAGACCTTGCGGGCCTGGGTGTGTCCCACAGCCCTGTGTCCCACCTCAACTTTGGGGTGCTACTTGCACACACAGGTGGGGGCCCACAGGGGCAGTGTCGACTTGCGCTGTGACCAGGCCCCCTGGGGACAGATCTGTCGCAGCAGCCCGCTTGTGACCTTTAGAGGTCAGCTGTTTTCCTCACTCCATTCAGGGCGTGGCCGCTCTTCTTCCTGGGGCTCTGCAAGGCCAGATGGGCCGCGGGCCTTTGTCTCTGGCGAGCGGCCGCGCCTTTCCGCCTTCCATTTCTTCGCATCCTCAGTTCTCCGATGGGCTTCTTAAAAAACCCGTCTTCTCTAGCACGTCTCACCTTTTCTCATCGTGAGGGTGAGAGCGACGGTCTGCTGCGACGGCCTGAGTCCCGGACAGATGCAGACGACGCCGTGGCTGTGCCCCGACGGCGTGTGCAGAGCCTGGTGGCCACACTCACTGTAAATCTCAGGAGGTGCGGGGCACGTGAAGTTTTCCTTCAAGTAATTTCCAATGGTTTCAAATCATTACTTTCTGTAGTTCTAATAATTTTAAGTTAGAATTGTTGGTTGAATAGATGGGGCTTCTTGGAGATCAACTAATAATATCCATGAAAGTCTGAAGAAAGATTCCAAGACGGAGACATGAATCAACAAGCAGGTCCCTCTGTGGCCCTGGGCGCCGGAGGGGTGGGTTCCGGGCGGGGTGACAGAGGGAGCAGCGAATCTGGGCTGGGAGGGAGCGTGCAGCTGCAGCTTGCGAGTCAGCTGCTTCTCAGAGCCCACATGACTGTGACCGTCAAGAAGGAGAGGGCAGCGTGGTGCCCCCTGCACTTGAGAGCACTTCAGGGGGACTGCAGCCCCTGCTCCCCCCTCTTCTCCCAGGGGAGCGAGCACCCAGCCAGAGCATCTACAGGTGGCCTCTCCTGGTGGCTCCTGGACTTCCGCCCAGCATGGCAGCTGCTGTGGGCGCCTGAAGAGGGTACCCAGGCAGAGGCTGCAGTGTCTTTGCTGCCTTTTCTTGGAAATCATGTAGTGTCAATTCTGCTGTGGTTCCAGGCCCACCCAGAGTCAAGGGGAAGGGCCGTCTACCCCACTTTGGGATGGGAGGAGTGTGACCATGACATTGGCAGAAAAGCATGGCTGGTGGGCAACTCGTTGTGCCCTCTGGGAGAACACCATCTGCCACCTGCTTCCGTGTTCTCTCAGCCCCCCACGCCAGACTCCTGCACAAGGGCCCACCCTGCACACCCCATCAGGGCAGGCTGTGGACTCCACCTTCTCTGCTTCAGCGTCCCCTCGGCTCAGCCCTGCTTCCACTACACAGCTGTCCCTTGGGGGACACACACCTCCGCTGACACCTGCCTGAGCGGGCTGTGCTCACCCACTGTCTTCCGCCATCACTTTTGTTCCTCTGCCCCATGACATCAGAGTGAGGGTCAAGAATGAAAATTGGGTCATGCCCTCCCATTGACGCAAACCCCCCTGTGATATCCCATGACCAGAACGTAGAGCAAGTGACAGGGCCGCTCCTGGCTGGCTCCTGCTGACATTTGTAGGCTCATCTCCGGGGGATGCCTGCCCTGCTTGTCCCCTCCCCCTCACTTTGCCTAGGCCAGCTGTCCTCCAGGTTGCAGTTGACATGTCACCTCTTTCCTCCAAGAAGGTTCTCCTGAGAGCTCCTGTTCTGTCACCCCGCACTGACCCCTCTCTGCTCTGGGTCTCCCCCTCCACTGGCCTCATGAGCGGAAGGCATCCCTAGCCCCTGCCGTTGGCCTCTCGTGTGCTCCGCCCTGGGAGTGAGCAGGGAAGCCGAGCATTGCTGATGGTCAGCGCAGCCCCTGGGCAGGATGGACAGGGTCCCCAGGGCCATCCACATGGTCTGATTCTCCACCTCTGGCAGGAGGCATCTAGGGGTGTCTTCCAGCTGTGAGTCCCTGGGGTCCTCCGGGGGGTCCAGGTTGGCACTTGGAGAGCCTGTCCTTTGTGTCTGTCACCCCAAGACTAAAGCCATCACTGCCCCATGCCGGGAGGGTTGGACAGCTTGATGGGAACCTGTCCTCTATGGGAATTACAATCACCCTTGCCACTCTCCTGCTCGTGAGGAAGTGTACAAAAAGTTAGGCAGCGTTCAGGACGTTTCAGTCACACCCAGAACTTACTCTGTAAGACGGAGCTACTAGTAGACCATGGTCACTGAGCCTTGGGAAGCTCGTGAATAAACAAGAGATTTAGCAAACCACTGTTCTTACCCCCCTTCCCTAGTAGGTCAGAGACTGAAAATGCTGTAGTCAGGTCTTCACGCCCTGGAGCCGGTGGGCAGTGTGCCAGCCAGTGTTGACCTCTCCCCTTCAGTGACCTGGGACCCTGGGACCTGCTGCCCGGCACCACTCCTCTGCCCCCAGGCAGGGCGCCTTCCGCTGCCCGCCAGGGCCTAGCCTGCTCCCGGTTCCTCCGTGTCTTTGACAGGGCAGTGAGCTAGGTGTAAGGACTATGATTTTTTTTTTCTCAAAAATTAGCAAAAGGATGAAAATTCAACAAGGTATTTTAAAGGCTGATTTGGAATGGTATTGATTCTTAACCCAGTTTTATTCCCATATCCCTGCTTTTCACTTGTAATGACATGTGTCCTTTTTAGCAGAGGTCACCTTTGCCTTGATCCTTCTCCCTGGTATTACTGTAGTCATCTTATATTGATTGGACGTCAGAGGTGGCGCATCACGCGTGTCACCCGACGACTGATGCGGAAACCCGGGTACAGCAGACGTGCGGCTTCGGAGGCTGGCCGGCCGGCCCTCGTACCCAGCGCAGCGGTTTTGGTGGCTTAGCGTCAGGCGTGCTTAATAAATAGTTATTTCTCTTTCACAGCCACAGCTATTGCAAATCCAATACTGTCCTTCTTAGATGTTAAACGGATTTTATTTCAAAAAATTACCACTAAAGGAGATGAGTTGGTAAAAGCCTTTCATCTGCTCGATACCGGTCACACCATGACAGTGTCCAAGAGTGGACTGAGAAGAATTGTCACCATCTTCCTGCTGCCTCTCACGAGAGAACAGTTTCGCGAGGTGCTGGCCCAGGTACAGTCCGTGTGGTGATGTAGAGCCTGGCTGCGGGGAGAGGACTCGGAGGCCAGGGGCGTGTCCCCCGACCTGACTTGCCCTGAGTCCCAGGGAGCGGTTCGTCACACTGTTCACAGTTGCTTACTTAAGCTCTGGCAGGTGTGGGGGACAGATACAGACTTCAGCCGTGTTCACATGCAGCACTGTTACAGCCGGTTTCTTTTTGTACTTTTGGTAAGGCCTTCAGTGTATGAAGTATTTGGTTGACTTATGTTTTGGAACTTACTGCAGATGCTCTCGACTTATAATGGGTTTCGTCCTGATAAACCCATCACGAATGGAACACATCCCATCTCGAAAACGCACTGAATACCCCAGGCCGCCCAGCACCCAGCTCAGCGCAGCCCGCCGTACCGCGCTCAGGACGCTGGCGTCCGCCGCCGTGGGTGGGGTCCTCTGACACAGCCGGGTCTGTCCTCTGCCCCGTGACCGCATGGCAGTGTTCTCTTGCTTTTATGGAGCATGTGTCCCCGCAAACAGCGCATCCGTTTCCTCATGAGCTTCATTTAACTGACACTTTATACCACATGGGAAAAAATATTATTTCCTCTTAAATGTCTCCTATATTCATGATCTCATGTTAATTTAAAAGTTCGACACTCTTCCCAAGCTAATCAGCTATACAGGAAGAGGGAAAGTGCAGAAAAGGTGAGGTGCGTATCTATTTTTAAAAGCTACATCTGTTTTTAAAAGAAGTCACTGGGAGCTGTTGAACTTCAAAGATTAAAAAAAAAGAAGGCAGGGCCCAGTCATCTGCGCCAAATGATGAGCATGTTTTTCTAGAACCTTGAGGTCCTAAGAGCTGTGTGGACATCAGGGAGGCTGGAGTCTGGTACAGCAAACAGGAGGCCAAGTTCACTGCGTAGTGGAGGGCAAGGCTGCTCTTCCCAACCCCTGGAGTCAAGAGTATGTGACTTTTCTAGGGCTTTTAACGGGAGTCACGTGGTCACGCACATTTCTTTTTCAGCAGTTAACGCAAAGCCTAATGGGTAACACCTTAAACTGGCAAAGCTTTTCATGGGGACCGCCCCCAAAGTTAGAAAAGAGTTTTCCAGGCAGCATGAGTTTACTTGAACTTGAATTTTATTGCAAGACCTGTGTCGAGCATGTCCAGCTGTCGGGTGTTCGATGATCGGTCAGCGCCTGTCCTTGGTTTCCGTTAACAGTGATGTGACCTTGTCTAATGTGGCCTCAGCCTCTGAATATTAATACAGAAACTTGAGGAGAAGCTGAGTTGGTAAACACATCCCAGGGGAAGAAAACAAAGTTCTGCCTGGGCCCAGGGGTTGTGCCGGGGGGAGGGGCGGGCAGAGAAGTCTTTGAAGATACTTGTCAGCGTGAATGTTGACTCCAGCCCCCGTCTGAGAATTTGCTTTCATCGAATCACCTGTGGCTGGGGTTGATTCTTAAACGTTTTTGCTGGAATTGCAAATATTGAAATGGACCAGCTTCTCTGCTTAGCTTTGGAGACGGGTCACTGTAGAACGGCATCTGCCACTTCAGAATTTGTGCCGGGCCATAAGCAGCAGTACGAAATGTGGTGGAAGCTTCCGGAGGTCGATGGGCGTTCTTTTCTTGCGGGCAGGGTGGTTCGTGCGGCAAGGCGGACTGTGCGGTTGCAGGGGTGTCCAGCGCTTACTGGTCGTGCTTAGTCAGGAGGTCGCGCCTCCGCTCTGTGGAACTCGGACTGTTTCCAGTTCCACACCCCGTGAAGGGGGGTGTTCAGGCTACATGATTGACTCACGTAAAACACTTGGTGTGGTGCCAGTGCCCGTGGGCAGGGCATGAGCTCTGCAACTGTTTCTCCTCTGCTTCCTTTACTCCTGTCTCTCCCAAACCCAGGAGGGTGCCCAGGCTTGGAGTTGCACAGTTCATCTGGCCCCGCCCTTCTTCTCCTTTAAGATAAGGGAGACTTGGAAGTCCCCCCGAAGTCGTAGCCACTAGAACATGCCCTGTCAGAAATAAGTCCTGGGTGTCCTTTCCAGGAGAAAGTGTCACGGAGGACCCCTTTCCCTCTGGCCCCATCCCCTTCTTGCCCATGTTGTAAGTAGTGAGCAGGGGCGCCCCCCTCTCGGAGGACCGAGGTGACCATGCTGGGCTCCACGGTGGGGACTGAAGGGCCAAGCCAGTGTCAGACTTGAGTGGGTGGACTTGGGGTGGCTCAGCAATGTGGGAAGGAAGTTGGACTTTGTGGACTGACATGAACCTTACTAAAACATACTTATATTCATTGTGTATGTTTATCTTAATTTGGTTTTATAATTCTTCTTGGAGAGAGAAATTTTTTTCACTTAAAAAATTTTGTATTATTTAGAAATAATTTTACACCTCCAGAAAGTTTGTAAGTCTAAGAACAGTGCAGATAGAGCCCTGTGGCACACACCTGTAGGCCGGCATGTCCACTGTGAACACGTAACTCACCTGCTTCTCCTGTGAGCGTCTGAGCATGGGGTGTGCACACTCGTGAATGTCCGTGATCCACACAAAGAAGGTGGGCATAGAATTGCTTTTCTGAACCATCTCAGAGGAAGTTGCTTGTGTTTTGGTTCTTTACTTCTAAATACTTCAGTGTGCGTTTTCTGGGAATAAGCACTATTCTCCTACATGTATCACAGCACAGTTTCAACTTCAGTAAATTGCACACTGAGAAAGTAACTTCGTTTAATTTACAGTCTTGACATTCTTGACTCAGTACTGTTCTTGATAGGATTTTGAATTTAAAAGTGACTTTTCCGTACTTTGAAAACATATAAATGTAAAGAGAGTTTATATAATACTCAGAAGGTAAAACTGTTCTGGGCCTCAGCCTCTTGGGAAATACATTTGTATTACATGTATACATATATAATATTAACATGTATGTAAAATACATACTAAAATATATTTTTACTTTATTTTTGATGGGGCTAGATTTGAGATAATTCTGTAGCTACCTCATTGACATTTAACCGAGCACAGACCAGGCTTCGCGTTGTGTGTGTTTGGTGTGCCAAGCACACACACCAGCTCAGCCCGCTGGGCCCGGCAGTGTGTTCACTGGAACACCCGCCCTGCCGACGGTACCCCACCTCCAGCATGAAACCTGCCGCGCCGCCCTCTCTGACCTCTGAACTCTCTGACTGGCTGTCGTCTTCCTGTCCGCACGCAGATCCCGCTCACCAGCTCCGGTGCTGTGCCCTACTTTGAATTCCTGTCCAGGTTCGGTGGGATTGACCCGCAGATACATGCTGTAAAGAGGTAAGTGGGGTTTCTGTTGTTATTCACGTGACAATGCGAGATTTGAAACGATAAGAGATAGGACAGAAGGTCATTAGAGCTAATCGCATGGCCAGTATATATGGAGGACGTGTTGGTGGCTCGTCCCAGTACAGCGTAATGGAGTTAATCCTCAGCCAAACGTTTGTTCCAGCTTCTGCTCCTGGCCCACGGGAGAGACCGGCTGCTGAAATGAGCGCGCCGTGGGCTGTGGAGAGCCTTCTGGCCGGAAGCGTACAGAACGAACTAGAGGATTTGCCAAATGACTACCCCTGGGGCCCCAGTGACGATGAGGGGCACAGTGATGGAGAGCGACAGCATCAACAACTTCTGGAAGCCATCACTTCCCTCGATGGAAAGAAGAGGTGGAAACTTGCCGAGAGATCTGAGGCTAGTCTGAAGGTGTCCGAGTTCACTGTCAGTGCTGAAGGGCTGGGAGAAAGGCTTGTCCTCTCTGATCTGCTTGAGCCCTTCAAAACTTCACCCTCGTTGGCCACTGTGAAAAAGCAGCTGGACAGAGTCAGATCAAAGAAGACCGTGGAGTTACCTTTCACCCAAGAAGAGGTTGCACGGACCCACAGGGAAGCGGCATTCCACCAAACCTCCCAGGCCCTCTCCAGGTGGGACCCCGTCGTACTGAAGGACCGCCGGGCGGAGCTGCTGGTGCTCCCCAGGAAGAGGGAGCATCCAGCCTTCGCTCCCACTGAATGCGTGCTCAGTGGCTGGGAGGCAGGCACTCCCCTAGAGCGGGAAGTTTCCAGCCTTCTCTGTAAGAACAGGCAGCCAGTGAGAGACCCTTTGCTGACAAGAAAGCCTCTCTCAAAGCCATGAGTCTGGAAGAGGCGAAGATGCGCCGAGCAGAGCTTCCGAGGGCCCGGGCCCTGCAGTCCTACTACGAGGCCAGGGCTCTCAGAGAGAAGAAAATCAAAAGCAAAAAGCATTGCAGAGTTCTGAAGGAAGGAAAGGCCAAGAAAGTTCTCAAGGAGTTTGAGAAGCTGCAGAAGGTCAGTCCTTCCACTGCACTGAGAGACCTGGAGGAACTGGACAAGGCCAGGGTGATGGAGCGGATGAGCCTGAGGCACCAGAGCAGTGGAAAGTGGGCAAGGTCAAAGGCAGTTATGGCCAAGTACGACACGGGGGCCCGCCGGGCAGTGCAGGAACAGCTGGCCAGGAACACAGAGCTGACACAGAAACTCTGGGCAGCCTCCGAAAGTGAGGAAGAGGAGGGAGGCCCAGAGGAAGAGGGCAGCCTCCTTGTCCCAGGAGTGGTGGAGGAGGCACAGCTGACGGCAGAGGGACCGAACCCCTGGATGGTCAGACAGCGCTCCGGGGCCACAGAAGAGGCCAAATGCCAGAAGGAGCCAAAACAGCATCCAGAGCCTGTGGCCAGTGAGTCTCTGGAAAATGAAGGGGAAGGAAGACCAGTGACAGAGGAAGAAGTTTTGAAAGAATTTGAGGAAAGGCGATTGCTCAGGAAAGGGCCTGGGCTCAGCCAGGATGCTAAGCCAGTGGGCAGACAACAAACAAAAGATTCCAACAGCCAAGAGGTGTTGTCTGAATCGAGGGCACTGTCTGCAAAGTTCAACAAGGACAAGCATCTGTGCAGGAAGCAAACAGTGAGCTCGGCGAGGGTAGTTTTGCCAGTCCGGAGAGAGGGGCCTACCGGGGAAGAAGAGAAGCCCCTGTGGCTGCCACGGCCAGGGAGCGCAGAGGGTCTGGAAGAGCCAGAGGAGCGGGACAGAGAAGGGCCCTTCCTTAATAAGGAGCCTCCTGGGCCTGTGCTGGAGAGGTGGCAGCTGGGGAGGAAGCAGGATGGGCAGCCTGGTGCTCCCGAGAAGGAAAGGAAGTGCGTGATTGACCTCCAGGGCATCCTCACCAGCACGTCCCCTTCCACAGAGTCCTCGGCTGTCCCCACAACCGTAGAGGAGCTGGCAGGCGAGTGGGACAGAGATCTCCAGCACGTGATAAAGGAAGCTTTTGCTGGAGATGATGTTGTCAGAGACTTCCTGAAGGAGAAGAGGGAAGCCGTGGAGGCAAGTAAGCCAGCGGACTTGGACTTGACCCTGCCTGCCTGGGGTGAGTGGGCTGGTGTGGGCCTGAAGCCCAGTGCCAAGAGGAGACACCGGTTTCTCATTAAAGCCCCCGAAGGTCCTCCAAGAAGAGATGAGAACCTGCCAAATGTGATTATCAGTGAGAAGCGAAACATCCATGCAGCGGCTCACCAGGTTCGGGGGCTTCCGTATCCATTTACCCACCATCAGCAGTTTGAGAGGACCATCCAGACCCCAATTGGGTCTACGTGGAACACACAGAGGGCCTTCCAAAAGCTGACTGCGCCCAAGGTCGTCACCAAGCCAGGCCATGTCATTCAGCCGATAAAAGCAGAGGACGTGGGCCTCCGGTCTTCCTCGAGGTCAGACCTCTCTGTCATAGGGAGGAATCTGAGACGACTCGCCACACGTCACCAAAAACAGCTGAAGAAAAACTCTGAAGGTTGAGGAGCGACACCCCGGCGCCCAGAGCCAGGGGCCCTGCCTCTCCCGCGGTGGCTCGAGTTCCCTCCGACTACGGGGTCTGTCCAGAACTGCCTATTGCACTGTGGGCGCCGTGGAGCTGCATTTTACAATCAGAGGCATTTACATCTATTAAAAAACTCTTTAGAAAAGATTTCAACACCTATGTAGGATATTTTTCAAAATAATAGAAGCAACACTATGTTAAAAAATGGAACCAGCAAATTAAAATCAGATTAACATATTGTATGTAATGTGTGTCAGATTTGGAAGTAATATTAATTTTGCAGTAAAAAACCTTTAAGATGCCAGATTTAAAATTTGTTCATTTTTATATAATTTAAGTGTCTGTCAATGGAAGGTGATTATATTTTGGTAGCTAGAAGTTAAATGTTTTAAAAACGTCTTTGAATGAGCTTCTTTGTATTTCATAGCTTTAGCATAAGCATGGGGTTCATTTGCTTTGTTTGCAAAGGGGGAGTGTTAAAGTTTGAACTTCAGTTCTGTTTCATCCATAAAGCTTTTTCATTCTAGTGTGTGATTTAGGAAATCCTGTTTTAGTAAAAAAAAAAAAATCACTCAGATTGTCTATTCTAAATGACTAAGCCTTGTTTTCTCAGGAATTGTGTGCATTTGGTCCTGAAACAGCAAATGTTGGTAGTGACGCTGCCGGGACTGAGGCCACTGTGGCCGCAGCTGCGGCGGAGGAATTGGTGCAGCGGGAGGGGTGGGGACGGGGGCTGTTGTCCAGTGGGCGCAGCATTTCCGTTATGTGAGATGATAAAGTTCTGGCGACCTGTTACGCAACAGTGTGAATTTACTTAATAAACTGTACTTTAAAAAATGGTCAAGGTGTCATTGTTACGTGTTTTCCGCTTGTTTGTTTTTTACCACAGTTAAAAAAAGGTAAGAAGTAGTACCGAAATTCCAACAAGCCCGGCCAAGTGTTTGGTCCCAGACTTCTCTTGCTTTGTTTAGTTAATGCTCAGGAAGGGGGGACTGCGCTGCTGTCCAGGGCCATCCGTGTTATAGACTGTGTATTCGTGCTCTTGACCTAAAACCATCTCTCTTAGGGGCAACCTCGATGACTGGATAGTAACTTAATTTCACATTCTTTGTGGAAAAAGCTAAACAATTGTAAACACAGAAAGCAGGAGAGTTCTTTAAATTTTGAAGCATCAGTCTAAAAATTAATTTGAAATTAAAAGCAGAAGTTGCTCCTTACACAAAAAAGGTTAAATATTTAAACTAAATTTGAAAGACTTCTGACTCACTGAGAAGAGAAGCTGAACTCTCTTTGTTGAAGACAACCCATCACAGTTAACGGAGGCTTCTCTTTCTAGTAATACGGTAGCACATATTCATGAATAGCACTTCCACTGGAAACAGCAGAAGTCTCAGATGAAGGGTAAAATACTTGAATACCTTACTGAGCTGGTAAGAAAGCTAGTAATCCCCAGAGGCCAAACGTGAGACGAAAATTGGGATCCAAAGAAGTGAGTGTTATAAAGAGCCAACTGTTACGTTGAGGGTATTGGCCAAATCCTGGTGGATTTGTGTGTCAGTTTTGTGGGCTCTTTGGAGCGAAGGGGATAAGAGACAAAGCCTAGAGGGGTGCCCAAGGTGGAGGAACCTGATAGAAGGTCAGTACACACAGAGTTTGGACACCTGGACCCTCAGGGGGGAGGGCAGCACAGAAGGGCACCTCCCTTGGGGGGAGGGCAGCACAGAAGGGCACGACAAGGAAACGTACCTGTTTGAACACTGGCATGGGTGAATAGGGAAAACATCGTAGTTATAAGTTGATTTTCATGCCGGTCTGTGCCTGCACTAATGCTGTCTGTGTCTTGGAAAGTCTCAGGCTGGGGATTCACTTAAAACTGGCCGGGGCCTGGGTATGTCCTTCTGTTAAGAACACATCTTCAACCCAGCCCTTAAAGAATTTCTACAGGTGAAGTACCAAGTAACATCAGACCACAAAAGAAAACCTTGAAAATACATGAAGAGACAAACAATGCAGACTTAAACCCAGTAGAAACAATGGCCGGGAGAGCATCAGATACAGAGTCTAAAAGTAGTGTTTTAATGACTAAAGAACGAAAGAATGGATTCAATACATAAGTACAAAGGAAGTGATAAAAATAAAAGATTCGAAGAAGTACAAAATGAACCTTCTGGTACTGAAAGTTACAGTAATGGTAGCTATAAAATTCATCAGACAGGTGGCTCAGTGGATTGAACACAGCCGAAAAGAGCATTAGTGGAGTGGAAAATAGATGGGAAGACGTTATCCAGAATGCAGCGCAGAAAGACGAGGATGCAAAATCTGGAAGAGAGGAATAAGACATGGAAGAATGGAAGACAAGGACTCATGTACTTACTGGATTTATTGATATGTAAGAGAAAAATTACGGCACAGGAAATACTTGAAAAGATAATGGCTGAGAACATCAAGCCAGATAACAAGAAGTGCCTGTGAAACTACAGAACATCAGAATCAAAGGGAAAATATGAAACACTTTGAGAAGAAAAGACGAATTAATTTCAGGGGAGTGCCAGACCAACGCTGAGCTCAGCAGTGACAAGGGAAGGTATGAAAGACACTGGGGAAAAATCTCTTCAGTGGGCTGAAATAAAATATTTGCCACTTTGGAATTCTGGACTGTTTGTAAGAATAGGAATAAGAGCTTTTTCTTTGGGAATCCCTAGGACCTTCTCTCATTCTGGCCACAGTTACACTCATCCATTGATAAACAGGGTATTTGGAAAAGGGAGAAATAGCTTCCCCGTTGGCCCAGGGTGTGGGAGGCTACCTTTCAACTAGACCTCATGCCGTTTTTTCAGACCGACTTGTATAAAAATAATAGGCAGCCTGTGCAGTCCTCAGATTCTCAGGTCATTAGACTTGGCTGGATCTCAGGACACCGACAGAGTTGCAGCTCCAGTTCCCTGAATCCGTGGCGGTGGGACTGATTCTGGTCACAGTGCTTCCCTTCTGGAAATACGGGTTGAGAGGTCTCATTTTGTCAGCCAGCACTTGGTGCCCTTTAGCACAGGAGAAAATTCAGGAATGTCCAAGAGTGGCTGGTTTGGTTGGAAGAAACATGAAGATCGGAGAGGACATTTCGCTTATTAAAGACATTGAAGACCTGGAATGATGTAAAAAATTCTCCTCCAGCTGTACAGAAGCTAGACAGGACAAGGCGTGGGACTGTTGTCATATCTGGCAGGGAGGGCGTCACATCATTTGTAGAAATGGTAGTATCATCATCAACCCTCAAACACCAAAGGAGTTATTCTACTTAGTAAATTGAGTCTTTTTGAAATTACATTTTATTGATTATACCATCACGGTTGTCCCATTTTTTTCTCCCCTTTATTCCCTCTGCCCTGAAAACCCGCCCATCAGCAGTCCCCCACCTTAGTTCATATCCATGGGTCATACATATAAGTTCTTTGGCTTCTCCATTTCCCATACTATTCTTAACCTCCCCCCCCGTCTATTTTGTACCTACCAATTATGCTTCTTATTCTCTGTACCTCTCCCTCCCCCCTGCTGATAACCCTCCATGTGATTTCCATTTTTGTGATTCTGTTCCTGTTGTAGTTGTTTGCTTAGCTTGTTTTTTTTTTAGGTTCAGTTATTGATAGTTGTGAGTTTGTTGTCATTTTATTGTTCATATTTTTCATCATCTTTTTCTTAGATAGATCCTTTTCACATTTCATATAAGGGCTTGGTGATGATGAGCTCCTTGAACTTGGCCTTATCTGGGAAGCACTTTATCTGCTCTTCCATCCTAAATGATAATGGAAATAACACCTGTAGTCAGCAACCTGAATGGATCTCACGGACATAAGATTGAGTGAAGGAGCAGGAAACAAAAGCATCTCCTATTCATGTGACATTCAGAAAAGACGGGAACTATATTTTTTAGGGATACATACCTAGGAGGTAAAATTTTAACCAAATGAATGGAAATGGCATCTTCCATAAGCAGTTACTCCCAGGAGGAGGGGAACCGTCACAACTGGAGAGGCGGTGGGGGGGGCGCCTTTTTGAATTGGCTTTGATTCTTCATTTGGGCAGTTGTTAAACTTGGCATATGTGTCGTATGTACTTCTCTGCAAATGGGTTATATTTCATAGGAACAATTTAAAGCTCAGGGAACTTAATGAGCAGATGATACACAGCTGAGGAGATAAGTGGCCGAGAGACTGGTCAGAACTCAGCCAGAAGGCAGCAGCGTGACACAGAAGACACTCTGGGAAGCGAGGGCAAGAGGTGGGGCGGGGGCAACACCCAAGGGAACAGTGGCTGAGACTTATCCAGAACTGAGTAAAGGCCCTACCCCGCAGTTGCAGGAAGCCAAGTCTCAAGCAGGATTAAAAGCAGGAGCAGAGATGGAACCCCAAAGCCAAAGCCAAATGTCAGCATTTAGACAAAAGCGACTTTTGAGCTGTAACAATGGAGACCAGGAGAGAGGGGCTTACTCGCTGCGATGTGTTGAGAGAAAACTCCTGGAATCGTGCAGCTAATGAAACTCTTCTGGCATTTCCAGCGCTGAAATGAAGACATGCTCAAACAGCAGTGCTCGGGTAGAAGGAACTGACCCAGACGGAAGGTCAGAGGGGAGGGAAGGAGGAAGGAAGAGCAAAGGTGGCAGCAGGCACGTGGTGAACCCTAAGCATCTGCTGACCTCGGGAAGCGCTAACAACTGTGGGAAATGACAATGCTCCTGGAGTTTAAAAACAGAATAACGTGCCGGATAGTGGTAGTATTACAGTGGAGAGGAGGGCCTCCCCTGGTCGCCTCGGTTTCCTTCCGGGCTCCTGTCGTTCCTGCAGTGTACGTCACTCGTCTGCATATGTTCCATCTGTCGCTGTCTCTAACTCTAAGCGTGTCTGAGACTAGAAACGGTGTCCTGGGCTCCATGGTGGCCCCAGACCTGGGTGCGGGTGGCGGGAGCAGTGTGACCTGAGGAGCGGCACATCCCTCTCGTTCCTCCCGCCTGGTGTGTTCCAAAAAGGCACTCTCCAGTGACCTCTGTGAAGCTGCCTCACAGACCTTGCAGACTGGGAAGCAGTTAATAAAACTGAAGGAACCAAGGAATGGCAGTGACACACACACCCCCTGAAGTCCCTACGGGTGGCTGGGCTGTGCCACGGTGTGGACAGGGGACTGAGAGGTCGGGACACAGTGCCACAGCCGAGGGGGCCAGACCACCTGGGTCTGCCCCGCGCCTCCACGTCCTCCCGGGCGACCATCGGCCCCTGGGTCTGCTCTGCAGGCTGCAGGGAAGAAGATGGCTCATGACCCACAGAGTCTCCCAAGGGTGGAACGGGGGAGGCAGGGCCACAGGAGTGCTCTCTGAGTGCAGGCCCTGGTAACTCCGGTCCTGTCCACCCTTCAGGGGGTAAACATTACAGACCGGAAACTGAGGCGGGGAGAGGCCAAGTAATTAGCCCAAGGTCATGCTTCCGGCCGATGGTGTTGCATAAGAAATATTTTGCATTTAAAAATATGTACTCTAGAAATGCTAATTGTTTGGATCTCTGAATGTCCTGCAGGAACATTTATTTACTTGGTTGGAACATTTTAACAAACAGTTTTTATTTTTGTTCTTCAGGGACAGTGGACACGAAATGAGGAGCTGTCGGACACTGAAAGAACTGGAAATCCAAGTAGGAGAAAAGGTAAGAGACAGCTTTCAAAATCCTTCTCCCCCCACCGCCCCCCACTGTTCCGCCAGAAGTCATTGTTAGCAAAGGCAGAAGATGCAGGCCGAGCCACGCCTTGTCGCCGAGCCACGCCTTGCTGTCAAGCCATGCCTTGCCATCGTGGTCTCGTGTCACAGTGGCCTGGCTGCACAAGGCTCTCACCAGCCTGCGTGGGCGCCAGGGCCCAGGTGGCCGCAGCTCCCTCCGTGGCAGCTGTTAACCATGGAGCAGAGGTCCTGGAATAGCAATTGCTTTGGCGCTAACTTCTGATCACTATGAGGAGGGCTGCCGTTTCTGTTTTTGTCTCACAGTGGAGCAAGGTTTTCTGTAAAAGGAGAGAAGTGCTGGTTTCCAGCAGTAAATGCCAAACCAGTGCAGCAGGTAGAAATACCCGGGCGAACGCACGGTGGTCTGTGGGGAAGGACCGAGCCGTTCAGCCGCTGGGGCTGCTCTGTGTGGCCGGACGGGGGCCCAGTGCACCGTGCGCCGCCGCAGTGGGACGCCAGAGCCCGCACAGCTTGTGAGAGGTGGGGGGCGGCACTCACGCGGTCTGGATCAGACCCTGTTTAAAATGCATCTGAACCTGTCACTTCCACGAGCAGCCGAGAGTCACGGCTTAATTTATTTGATACAATATGTTAGTTTGAAATGTGACACATTTTCTTTCCTTTCTGAACTCTTCTGAGATTTTCATACATTTGAAAATCAAAAATAGCCAGAAATCCAAGAAACGTTTGTCGAAATTCTCCTGGCCGATGCTGTGACCACGAGGGCGCTCGTGTCCGAGTGTCGCGTGCTCCCAGGAAGCCCATCCGCGGTCATCGATGGCGGTGGGAATGGGCTCCGAGTTCGCTCTTCCTCCGTCATGTTCCACGTGTTGTTCTGCGAGAAACACTCACCGCGATGGACATTCTGGAGGGTTCGCGTCGTTTGCCTTTTCATAAACACGGTTACAGGAGCTTCCCCCAGGGAAGTCAGCCGTCGGTGACAGCCCTGTCAACGTGAATGGCGCTTCGGGTCAGTGTGCAGTGGACGAGGAAAGCTGAGAGGGATGGCCGTTCACAGAGCCCCTCCCCCTAATCCCGTGAGTGGGAGAAGCCTTCCGGTGGGTCGAGCGTCAGTTTAAACCGTGCAGCTTTCACGCAGCTTCTGGTGAGAACAAAATGGTGACAGTGGAAGGCGGAGGAGGAGCGGGGACTGAGGTGACCCTATGTCCCGGTCCTGCCCACAGTCACGCCCTGGACAGGCAGGCACCAGACCGACCCAGTCAGACCCCGGTTTCTGCCCTAGGCGCTGCCACTTCCCAGCCAGGTGGCCTTGGGCAAGTCCTTGTCATTGGCTTTCTTCACCCGTTGGAGCGGGCGATAACGCCCACCTTGGCGTGCTGCTGTGTGGCTTGACAGTGCCCGGCAGCGAGGCCTGGAAGGCCTGGACGGTGCAGCTGCGGCCCCGACTACTGCTCCGGCTTCCTTGAAAGTGCGCGAGTGCCCTCCCTTCCCAGCCACCCCAAGTGGAGCAGAACAAAGCAAACACACTGCTTAGCTGCCTGCTGTGGGCGGCAGTGCCTCGAGCTCAGACTCGGGTCCTGCAGACGCTCCACGCACGGACGTGGAGACCGGGAGGAGCGCCTCTGCTGGGGACCTCTGTGGTTCGCAGCGAGAGCGTGCCGAGTGTTTTGTTTGAATAGGAGTCCCCGTGGCTCGCTGGAGCCCAGAATGCCTGTAAATGTCTGAGTGATGGGGCCGGCCTTCGCTGCATGTAGGTGTGGTGTAGCCGTTCTAGACCAACAAAGAATTAGCAGTGGGCACCGCAAACTGACCAAGCCCCAGTTTGCTTGTTTTTCCAAATTGTCTTCTCCAGCAGCAAGCTCAGTGTGACGCTGGTTCCTCAGCCCCTCCCTCACGTGCACCGAGACCCTTGGACACGGGTTTGTGGCCATGCTCGTTCCCCAGCCGAGCCCTGCAGCTCTCTGAGTCTGGTTGTCTCCACCCCACAAGGGGAGAAGTGGATGCTCTCCAGGCCCTGCCGCCCCCAGGGCTGCATGGGAAGGGGCTGCTGTGTGACCTCCTGGGGCCCTGGATTTCGGAGGAGATGAAGCTCTGGAAGCCCATGGGGTGCTCGGGACTTCGTGTCCAGGCTCCGTCTGGCTTGGTCCCTGGTCACCTGCACGCGGGTTCCCCTCCGCAGCTCTCACGTGCCCTTGCCCTTTTGGCCTCCATGTTGCACTTGGTCACAAACCTGACTCTGCTTTCTCTCCTTCAGCTCCTCCTCCTTGTCATTGACTGGACAGGTAGTGAGGACTCTGGTCCTCGAGTCCTTTGCTTTCATAGTCCCGTAGGAGGCAGAGGGATGTGGCCGGGAACCGGCCTGAAGTGCAGGCTTTGCGGCTTCCTCCACACAGGGGGCTCCGGGCAGGTCTCTGCCGTCCTGCCCCGACTTCCCTTCTTTCCCCTATCAGGGCAGTTATAAGAATGAGTGAGAATGAGTGACAGACCCCCAACCCCCGCAGGGAGGCCAGTTCTCCGCAGCCACTGAAACCCCCTCTGTGGTAGGTTCTACCTGCCACCGGGTGGCTCCCCCTCGGCCTCCTTCCGAGGTGTTTGGTTGTTCCAGCCTGTGAGACACAGAGAACTCCAGCTGAACTAGCTGAGACGTGAAGAAGGTCTCATCCCATCCAAGAGGGTGCCAGGAGGGCATGCAGACCCAGAGTCACAAACCCAAGTCTCCGCTGGTCACGAGGACGTAGCCAGCCAGGCCGGGCCTGTGGATTCTGCAATGTCAAGTTCAGTCCAGTATGCTGTGCCCTCCCAGCGTGACTCTTTACAAACACGGGGAAGCTGCGCCCCACGACTCACAGACTGGAATTGGGTCCCACAGCCAAACCAGTTCTGGCAGCAGCGTTGTTGCCCTGGTGTGACAGCCGGGCTCCCTCCCTTTGGGAGGGAGGGAAGCACGTGGCCCCTGGAGAAGGACATCTGAAGGAAAGGGAAACTGGAGGGTCCAGGCCAGTGGATTGAGGGAGGGCAGCCAGCAGCGCCTACGTCCGCCACCACGGGAAAGGCTCCTGCCGGGCGGCCAGGCCTCTGTCCTCTCTCTCGGAGGAGATTGGGGTTTCACCGGCTCTGGTGGGGATGACGGCTCGCACTCAGCTCTTCGCAGGAGCCGTTCTCGGTGCTTTCCTACGTCATGTGGCTCCCAGGAGGAGCCCATGAGGCAGGTGCCGTTGTCACCCCCACCAATGGGAGAGGAGCCCGAGCAGGGGCTCAGCAGCCTGGCCAAGGGCACAGGGCTGCAGGGGCTGCCCTGGCAGCGGGGCTCCCCATCCTTGCCCTGAACCGCCAGCGGCCCTGCCTCTTAGGGGGTTGCTCACATTGCAGTCAGCACGTGTGCCCGTGTGCTTTGCCTGCAGGTAGGACGACGAGGTCTCTCCACTGTTGTCGTACGGATGCAGGGAGGTCTTCGTTCCAACCGCAGGGCCATCTTCCCGTCCACGTAGCATCGGCTCGTGTGGGCCTTCTGGAGGCTCCCTTCCCTCTCTGCCTCCAGCACCCCGCCCTCCCCTTCTTCCCTGCTCCCCAGTCTTCGGCCCTGCCTGCCCTGAGGGCCCAGCTCCAGCCAGGAGTGGTGGCCGGCCGGGGGCCCAAGACATGGGTCTTCACCTTCTTCAGGACAAAGAGGACTGAAGCTGAGCTTCCATGAGTCACCAGGCTAACAGATTTCGCCCTTTTTATCCCGTTTGTCTTTGGTCACCTCCCCACGTGAGAGTTGAAAGGTGGCAGTGAAAGGGGAGCCCGGCCCAGGAGGGAGACCCCACCTGGCGGAGGGGGGCGTGCTCCCTGCAGCCATGTCCGGGGTCTAGAGAGACAAGAAGCTTCGCTGACCTCCCTGAGGTCACCCACAGTGGGTGTTGGGGAATGTCCTGACTCTCCCCTCCCCCCCACACAAGAGGCTGTTCCTAAGTGAAGGCTGGAATTCCAGAATGTGTAAATCAGTTAAAGACACAAGAAAGAAAGATCGAGTTAATACCCCCCGGACCCCTGGCTGTTGGCTCTTGTGGCGCATGTCACCACACAAGCCAGGGATGCTGCTTCAGGCCTGAGCACTGCGACGTCAGAGCATCCGGTCTGCCCAGCCAGCCGTGACTCGCGTGTCTGTCGGGCAGTCCATGGTCTGGCGCAGGTTTATGGGCTTGCCCTGGTGCCTTGCGGTTCTGTCGATGCAGCCTTCGTCATTTCGGAGGCAGTTAGGAAATGATGAGGGTACTAAGCCGCCTGCTTGGTCTGTGATCTCTTCATGAAGGGAAGGCAAAAGTGATGGGCAGATTCATTTTCTTAAACTTTTAAAATTATGACTTGAGGGATAAAGAAACAATTGCTAGAACCACAACCATTTCATAAACATGCCTTAACACTGTAACACTGCGTCAGCGTGAACGAATGTGCCAGCGCGCAGGCTGTTCGCCTGGTAAAAAGACTCTGCCAAACCCAGAATGAGGCCGTTCCCTGAAACACACAAGCTTCCGGTTAATTCGCAGTGTTCTAATCCCACTTCCGTCGGCGCTGCCTCAGTGCTCGGGGTATTAATTGCCTCTTCCAGCAGGTATTTGAACACATCTCTCTTCCATCTGAAGGAAATATTAGCGTATCGCAGAGCAGCTGGGACAGATCGCATCTGAGGCTCTCTCTCCTCCCCGCAGAAGAGCCTGTCAATCATAACTGAAGATAGTGATTAATAATGTCACAGCTCTGTGTCGCGCGTCTGCGTGCGACCGAGTGAGGACTGGCACTCGCGCTGTGATCCAGTCCCACAGCAGCAGAACAGTCACTTGCCATTTTATGTAAAAAAAACTGTGCCGAAAACACCTACCCTCCCGAAACTATTTTCGTTGCTCTATTATTAATTTACTAAAGGCTTCATCAGGAAACTAAAACAAAGATTCCATTACATCAGAATTTGTAATTGTTTCAGACTTAAGT